GGCTCATCCTCCGGCGGCCCCGGCTGCACCGCGCAGCAGCCGGGGCCTAACCGGGAGCGGGAGCGCCAGCGGCGGAGGAGGCAGCAACAAAAGCAACGCGGCGACCGCAGCGAGCAAGCCAGCCAAGGCGGCGGCGGCGGGTGCAGCAAAGGCGGCGTCGCCGCCGCTGAGGTAGTTGCAGGAGAGCTGCCCCGAGAGGAGGAGGAGGAGGAAGAAGGCGGAGGCGAAGAGGCCCGGGCTCTCAGGGCGGAGCCAGGCGGCGGGGAGGTGGCGAGGGGTGGGGTGAGAGGCGTGTTGTGGGCGCCTGGCGGTGGTGGAGGCACGAGAGCGGCGGGAGGCCTGTCCTGGCGGCGGCTGGGAGCGCTGCAGCGTCGAGCGAGGGAGGCGAAGGCGGGAGGCAGAAGTCGGTGGCCGCCCCTTTGCTAGGACAGAGCTCTCCAAACGGTGTGTCTCCACACGTTAGTGTGTCGGCTGCAGTGTGACGAGCGAACTAATACCAGTGTACTGGAAGAAGCAAAGATTCTTCAACATCAACTTCGTTGGACTGGTCATGTTGTGCAGATGTCTGATTATCGTCTTCCAAAGCAAGTACAGTGGTCCATCAGGTTACATACGCTTCAGGTTACATACGCTTCAGGTTACAGACTCCGCTAACCCAGAAATAGTGCCTCAGGTTAAGAACTTTGCTTCAGGATGAGAACAGAAATCGTGCTTTGGCGGAGCGGCGGCAGCAGGAGGCCCCATTAGCTAAAGTGGTGCTTCAGGTTAAGAACAGATTCAGGTTGAGTAGATGATATGGGGTATGCCAAAGCTTATTTGGGAGTTCAGGATATATAAACTTTATTTTGGTGTGCGGGGACATTAAAACTTTCCTCCTTTTTTGTTTTTTGAACTTAAAAGCAAATAAGGCACAGGGAACTAATAACAAACTTTGCACTGGGGTGAATATGTACTGGTGGTATGTAGCAGCCACAATTCTTGGGACCCTTAACAGACTACAGTTCCCAGAATTCTTGGTTGCGGAAGGTGGACTTTTTATAAGCAAGCTGTGTAAGATTATAGCCATGATATCCGGTAACATGCTCTAAACACAAAGTGGCAAGTTTTTTGTGTGAAGCAGTTATTCTATTGACATGAAAAGCATCTGAAAGATGGAGCTTGTTTTAACATTTCATGAAATTGCATATACTGTATCCACAGTCTTTTGTTATGGCACCCAGGTCACTCACCTTGGCTGGTCTGCTGTTCCAGAGATTGCTATATTGTGTCATCACAAGCTACGGTACCCTCCCTAGGATTAGTAACATTGATTGCAAATAATAAGATAAACAACCTTTTTTAGCATTAGGTACGGTATTCAAGAAACTTTCAAGGGGAGGAATGCAAATACTTTATCTTTGGGGGGGGTGTCTTACCTGGTGGGGGCCATCTGTGAAGCAATGGTTCCCAACCATTTTTGTATGGTGATCAACAAGTCCAAATTTACTTGGTAGGGTGACACAATTTATTATCACATGAGTTTTGGACTTTAGGTCTTCAACAGCTGTCAGTTTTGTGCATTTTAACTGCACATTTGCCTATTTTATAACCATTACTTAAAAGCATCCGAGCAAAAATTTACTTAATGCATAACTTGTTGAAATATTTATAGTACTTACAAGGCTATTCAGAGTTTTGTTTATGGGAATGTCAGAACACCAACCATCAAGTTGCAGGATTTAAGCTATAAAATATATATTCTAAAAACATAGAACTTACACAACCAGTGTTAGATATAATGAAACTTAGAAATATTCACATTTTAACAATAAAGCCCACTTTGGAAAGACTCGGGAGGGTGGCTGAACTTGTAGTTTGCCAACGGGTTAGTCAATGAGGGGTTTGAAGATTATAGTCTCAGACAATTATTGATACATAACCTGCTTCTGTATTTCATCTTCATAGCAATCATTGCTGAAAAACCCAACTACCCTTACTGGCAGATGGTCATACAGGGAGTTGCTTTGAGTGATTATTACAGATTGCTTCTGAAGTGCAGGCACTGCCTTTGGTGTCTATGATTAAGAGTCAAGCTGCTTATAAAGCCCACAGCTCACTTGTGAGTTGCAAGCCACAGGCTGGAAAAACAGTGCTCTAAGTAGATAAATAGGTACTGCTCCGGCAGGAAGGTAAATGGCATTTCTGTGTGCTGCTCTGGTTCGCCAGAAGCAGCTTAGTCATGCTGGTCACATGACCCGGAACCTGTACGCCGGCTCCCTCGGCCAGTAAAGCGAGATGAGCGCCACAACCCTAGTCTGTGACTGGACCTAATGGTCAGGGGTCCCTTTACCTTTACCTTTACCTTAAGGTACCTCCAGCCCAAGTTCCTAGGAGGGGGAGGAAATGATGGTACAGTACAAATGGAGCAGGCATACTATTACCAAACACTGATAGTTGTTTAAATAAACATATTTGCTGGAATATAAGAATCAGCTAGCAATTACCTCTTGGAATGTGCCACAAAATAGTTTTGTTCCGGAAACATTTCTAAATCTGACCAGAGTTTTGCTTATTAAAAGGAAACACAGTTCAGTGGGTGAAATTGTTCCCTTTCCAGTAAATCCAGAATTGCATCATCACATCAGACTTTCATGGTGCAGCAATTAGTCAGAGGTATAATTATTGGGGAATTGCAAAACCGCTCTTTCCCCATGTCCTTACTCCACAGAAAATTAAATTGCTCACAAACACATTCGATAATTCTTTTTTTTAAAAAAAATATTATCTTTATATACTATACCGTATGCTAGGTGAACAGTGTTTTTTGTATCATCCATCAGACCAGATATATTCTACAGTTTTCCTTCCATTTCCCCAACATTGCAATTGTTTCTTCAAAAATAAGGGATTCACCATGGATGCTCAATCTGCTGCTGTCAGAGGTAGCAAGGATACGTTTGTGGGCTGTAATGGACTGCTGCTGAAGGATTTCCTGCCTGGTTAACTTGTATAAGGGTCATCTCAAACAAGCAAGCCTTTTTCTCTGATCTATTCAGAATTAATGTTCCAAGCTTCCCAGGGAAGGACAACCCCCCCTCACCAAAATGGATACACATATTTCCTTCGTCTTGTATAAGCAGAATTTTTCAGAGATCTTGTCCAGTGGCCAACTATCATTCTCTTGGGTTACCAAACTTTCAACAGTGAAAAACACAAGAAGTTAAAATGAGCATATATATATACTTCACTAAACAACTATGGAATTAATGAACCTTACATGTTGTTTCGAATTGATGGGTGGAGTATTTGGCTTATATTTGGTGTTGTTGGCATCCTTCTGTCTCAGGAGACAATGCGGTGTGCCTCCAGGGGTGAAGTCAAACAGCTGGAGAATCACAGCACCTGGTGCGGCTGCAGATTCCCATAACTCGGCTGCAGATTCCCATAACCCGTAACTGCTGCTTCCTGCATTACTTTTGCTGCGTTACCAGCACTTAAGTGACCCCTTCGCCTCTTCAAGCACTAGCCACCAGATGCAGGATTCCCCCCCCCACCCCGTTTTGTAATACTTGCTTGCAAACTGCTTAAAAGTGACACCTTAACCATGAAATTAATGGAGGTTTATTTAGAATGTATTCTATAACATTTCAACTTGGTTGGTAACAGTATTTCATATGCATCAGTATATCTAAGCAGCATGTTACTGAACCACACTCCTCCAAATTTCTCAGAGTAATAGTGGGTTCCACCTGATTTTATATTATTTTAACTCTTGTGCTTCTTTAAAACATCCATGCCAACATTAGCTCCACAGTCTGTAAAAAGGATAAAACAATACAGCAAAGGTCACTTAAATGTACTTATTTTTAAGAATCATGGCATTACTCACATTTTATTACTCTTCTGAAATGTTGGCTATGAAATGCCTTTTTTTAGGAGTATTTTTCTCTTCTTGCTTAAAACATGAATTAAAATCTCATTACTGCTTCTATTTCACAATAATTTGTCTTTTAAGGTTGACAACTGGATGATATCCCACAGCATGAGTTAAGCAAATGTGTTATACAAATACTAATTGGCTCTAAAAGAAGGGGCCCTGAGGAAATAATGTGCTTACGGTCACTTTCAAATGTCGTAACACCCATGAAGTTGCTCAGGTAAGATTCATGTTTAAGGAGTGGGGTGGAAAAGGAAATTTCTGAAATTATGGAATACCTCCGATAGAGGATATGATTACATCAAAAGGCCGTAGGCTCAATCCCCAGCAACTCCAGGTAGGGCTGATATACCTGAAACCCTGGAGAGCCACTGCTAGCCATTGTTGACAATTGTTGAGCTAGCAGGACTAAGGCAGCTTCCTACATCTGTGTGCCTATAGAAAATGTAATCTTAATAACTGAATATGCCAATTACTGTTTCACCAGCAAAGCATGTATATTTTGTTTTAACTAGAATTTTTTCAAACACTTAAGTAGCTATCATACTACTTATTTTACCTTTTACCATGAACATTATCTAACACAATTTATTTATATATACAGTCGTTCCCTGGATGGATTCCGTTCGACTTCCAAAACATTCAAAAACCAAATCACAGCTTCTGATTGACTGCAGGAAGCTCCTACAGCCAGTCAGAAGCTGCGGAAGCCCCATTGGACATTCGGGTTCCAGAAGAACGTTCGCTAACTGGAACAATCACTTCCGGGTTTGGGAGCCAAAACGTTCGAGTTCCAGGGCATTTGAAAACCAAGGTACGACTGTATAAAAAAAAAACACCTTTGTCAAATATTTAGGAGGAAATGAATTGTTTACATTGCTCCCACATAAAAAAAAAACACCAATATTTTTTACCTGTACTTTAAAGCCATTAAAACCCAAGCAGAGAATGCCTATTTCATAGCACAGTATTTTAACCAACAGTCCATGTCAGCAGTAGTCCATTTGAAAACAACAACACCCTGTTATTAAAATTAGATTTTAAGACAGCAACACCAAGAAATGAGTTATGCAAGTTTTAGATATCACATCAGACTTTCATTTTATGCAACTAACTATATTTCACAACTAACATTGTACAAAATAGATAGTACCATTGTGCCTGTAGAAGTACTGCAGTTAAAAACAGAAATAAAATACAATACTACAAGAAACCAGCAAACATCACAATTGTCAGGGGCTACAAAATTCCATTGTTCTAGCTGAAATGATATTAAGCATACGTATATTTTGGGGTTAGATTTACTACCAAAGATCCCATCTAATTTTTCACATTGGTTCACAAAATAAATATTTTCAATTAATGATGGTTTCCGCTGTAACAATACTCCAATGGATTTTGTACCAAATCTGATCCAACAACAACAAAAACGCTAACAACCTAATCCTATGTATATCTTCTCAGAAGTAACTTCCACTGAGCTGAAATGGGCTTACTCCCAGCTAAGTGTGCACAGGATTACATCTTAAAATATGCCAGACATCCTCTTGTAACTTTGTTCTTCCAGGACACTTACTGCTGTAAGCCCCAAAGTAAAGCAATATATGGGGTGGGAGTTTTTTGCTGTTGAATCAGTCTATTAAGCTTTTGCAGATGCAGAGCCCTGAGCACATGATGTTTGGAGAGGTACAAGCTAGGATGTTTTCACAACTGATGCTAAAACACCTTCACCTTTGTAAAGTGCAATTCTAAGTATGTTTACTCCAAAGTAAATTCCACTCAATATAATGGTCCTTACTCCTTAATAAGTGTGTTTAGGACTACAGTCTCAGATAAGTATAAATGCTCAAGATTGTGCTCATGGGTTTTAATCCTATAAATACTTACCTGGGAGTAAGTCCCATTGAATTCAGTGGGACATGTCTAAGTTGACATGCACAGGATCCCACTGTCAATTTATAATGCATCACTTCCAAATAGTTAGTACGCCATACAAGTGGGAAAGAATCATTTTTAGATAGAATGTACATTGTCATCAGTGGGTGTCCATTTGATGGGCAAAGTCATGAATAAAAACACCCTTAGAATTACAAACCATGTCCCCTCCCATTCTACAGTTCTAATGCAAGAATTATTACTTAATTTGTGCACCAAAACACTTAACTGATTGTAAACAAAATGGCAAAACCTATACTCATAAAAATATTTTATTGGAAAGTTTACATAATACCGACTGGGACTGTAAATCTTGTTCTGTATCTATATATATTGCTAAATGCATAAATGTTCACAACTATGTCAAAAACAAAGAACTGCATTTTTCCTATGATTTGCTCTATAATATTTAATAAAGGATTTTTGTTTTTCAAAGCAAAAGGCTGATATAGGAACAAATGTTATATATACACACTACTTGCTTATTTATTCACTCTGGTGCAACATTTAATATCACTGGCTTGGATCCAAAAGGCTGCACAGGGAGTATCCACACACATACACAGAATGGCTTCCAAGGCTTACCACCTTTCATCTACAGTCCCCTGCACCACCCACTCCCAAGGCTCCAAAGAACTTTGGGAAAGGGATCCGTTGCGGTGCAATGAGCTATGGCTGGAGAAGAAAATGGAAACCGCAAGCCTGCATTAAAACTCTTCTATAAACTTAAGGCTGCAATCTTATATGCACTATCTGGAAGTAAGTCTCACTGAACTCATTGGGATTTACTTCTGAGTAGACATGTACAGGATTGCAATGTAAAAGCCTCTTTGGATCCCAGCCTCTAGCTGAACTGATATATCACTATAACACTGAGCAAGTCTGGGAGAAGGAAAGAATAAGCCAAATGAGAACATTATCACGTTTTGGATGTATCAACAGCAGTTAGATATTAAAATCTAGATTTAAAAAGAAAAGAAAACAGAAAATGCCTAATAATTTGAGAACAAATTTCTGTTCAATAACATAGAATACCAGTGTATAAGGACAAGGTAGTACTATACTTGAGTTATAAAGCTAAACAATTAATGCTTGTAACAGATTTACTTATTTTTCCCTTGTAAACATTACAATAAATGTTCTAAATGTGTGAGGAAAATATTGGAGAAGCCAGCAACATAATTCAGTAACAGTAATCTAGTAAAATGTGTCAGACATTGGCAAAAATTCATACAAATGTTTTTTTTTATTTAATAACATTTTTCCTATTCAACCACACCAAGTACCAGCAGGTGTTTTAAAGATAATCATTACGAAAAGTATTTTGCAGCAATAGTTGATTAAGTTGATCTTTGACTTGCATACATATAACTATGTTTCACAATTCTCAAATAATACATATTTAGGCAGCTTGAACTATGTTATAAAAAAATTCAATTCAGTACATGCCAATAGTATAGAATCCAAGAGTTGTGTTAGAATTCACTAAACTAAAGGTGAAAATGGACTTACCAGTAACACTGCATCAAGAACATTCAAACCACATTTTCATGGCACCTTTGTATATGAAGATTAAAAAGTCATCTGAAAAGGTTTTGTAGATTGCAATGAAATTTAATTTCACTGCCGCACTTGTTTTGTATAAAACTGCATAAATCATGTTTGAGTAAATATACAAATCGTGCACTGTGGATAACAAGTCATGAAAATGTGGTAACTGTTGGCAGAAGTTGTGTACATTTGCAAGTTTGGAGAGGAAAGACTAAAGAAACTGGAGTAAATAAACTTTAATGAGATTCTCCATTCAGTGATGAGGCTTCTCCTCTCGGTGAAGACGACCTGGACATTCCTCTCTCTGTATTGTCAGAACTAGAACCGCTCTGGCTGTGCTGATCTGCAGAAGCTGCACTGGAAGCAGGTGGTGACTTTGTTTTTTCCTTAAAGTCTGTAATAATGACTGTCAGATCACCAACAGTAACTTCCAAGTGTTGGGCGCTACTTCGATCCACATTTTTCAACCTGGGCCTAGAGTAATATAAATAATCAAGGAGGTAATTCAGAAATCATCTGAATCTCTTATGTTAAGGTTATATTTGAAGCCCAAACATATGTAAGAAGCTGCCATATTCTGAATCGTATCATTGGTCTACTCTAGGATGACATTTTTTAAACTTAATCTGACAGCAGTTCTCCAAGATAATAGATGGTTTTTCCCAACCCAGTTCCCAGAGACCTTGGATTGTATCCAGCACTGAACAAGTGGCATTCCACTTGCTCAATGGGACTTCCCTTTCCTCTCCCCGTATTTCCCCAAAGTCTATTCCAGAGGGTCCCCCAAAATCCTCTATGGATTTAAAGGGCAACACGCACACTTCATCACTTCATATAGATGCTGTATGCTCCCTTTGGCAAGAGAAGTGTCTGGCCACTGTATTCTGGACCAGCTGAGGTTCCATTGAACTCATCAAAGTCAGCTTACATAGAGTGCATTAATGTGCTTCAAATGAGTTATGGCAGCACCATAGTGGCAAAATCCTCATTGTGTAGGAAATTTTGAAGCCAGTACATTATGTCTAGCTGGAAAAGAATGCTCCTCTCTACTATCACAACCTGCAATTCAACCTACAGCAATTGGGGGAGTGCAATCCTGTTCCCAACAAGCTGCACACCTATTCTCAGATCAATGTCTCAGCTGGATGGAGTTTCATTCCCTTCATATCACCTCTCTTGGTGGCCTCAGGTAGATAGAGAAGGGGTGATAAGATGGACTAATTTCAAATTCTAATTAAATAGTAATGGTGTCTATCATAATGGTTACTTTTATTGAAGATAATGTGGGCAGCAGAAATTTACACCCCCAACGCATGGGGGTGGGGTGGTTTCATAGTTGGGAGTAATTGTTCGACCATGTTTAACCAACTGGCAAAGCTGCCTTATATTATAAGACAATTGACCCTGGTTATATTGCATCTATAAAAACCATCTGACTGTATTAGCATATACTAATAAATATAGTTTAGATTCTGTAAAAATATACAGGTTTCTGCTGCCAGTGGAAATTCATTCCACCATCTGAACCTTTCTAAAGTGCACAAGTGCAGTGTGCATATAGTTTGTCCAATTTTCAGACACTTTATTGACTGACTGCAAATTTCCTTTTCTCAACCTGAGGCCAATTAAAATGTGTAAAAGGTGAAATCTCCGAATTTTATTCCCTTTGTATCTTACTTTCCACTTTGCTGAAATTCTTCTCACTATTAAAAGACAGACTTTCATGACCAGAATTTTGAGAGGAGGTAAAAATGCTGGTACCAGATTTTTCTAGAAATCAGGGTATTATTATTATTATTATTATTATTATTATTATTATTATTATTTATTAAATTTATATCCTGGTCTTCATCTGAAGACCTCAGGTGCCATTTTAAAAAATATAGATACATGAATGATGTGCTCAGCAACATATGAACATAGATACAGGTATATATTAGGCCCTTTCTGAAGATACACTTTCCTGTAGTTTGATTCAATCTAACAGCGGAGTACCTAAACATCGCAACTATGTGGGTAGGGATCATTGTGTGACTCTTTACCCTTTTCTAAGAATTTTGCAGAGATTATCTCATTTTGTTCTCTAAGTAACAGAAAAAGTAACAAAGTTTACCTTGTTTTCTTGTGACTGTTCTTTTTGCTAGTCGTTTCCTTTTCACTTTTTTCTTTTTCTACTTTGTCTTTTTTCTCTTTCTTTGATTGTGTAGGGGGCACAAATTGCTGCGTAACCTGTTGTGCAACCAGTTGAGAGACAGGTCGAGGTTTCCTGTGTGTAAATGGATGAGAGAAATTAAACTCCCTGGCATCAGTAAATTTCTGCACGAAAATTATTTTTTTTGTAAATTGATCACAGTTAACAATACACCCATTCCACACTATTTAGATTTGCGAATGTAGGCTTCATTTTCTAAAGAACAAGTAAACACACTTTGAATTTCTTGAAACAGTGAAGCCTCTCCTCCCCCCGACAACTTCCACTGGCACAAAAGTGTGTAGCACAAAAGTATTTTTTAGTCTAACTAGACTAAAATATAATGCACATAGGAAGAAAGGAAGGTGTGCTATATCAAGTCAGACCATGATTTAGCTCTGCATTTTCAAGACAGGATACTGCTCTCTAGAGTTTCAGGCATGAGCCATTCCCAGCCCTATCCAAACAAAAAACCAAAAATCCCAGGGATTGAACGGGGGACCCTTTGCATTTGAAGCATGTATTCTACCCACTGAGCTATGGCCCTTCCCCAAGTCCCAGGAAAATTCCTAAAAAGAAAATATTATCCCATCAATGACCTTAAGATTTCTATTGAAGGGTATCCAATTTGCAGAACTCTTAAGGCTAGCCTTTTTTTATAAAACCTCTGTGCGCTACAGTGGGTACAGCCACTTCACAATCTCATGCACACACATGGGATGCATGAACACACAGCCCCCTTCTTCAGTTGATCCATGCAGATAAGCTAAGGATGTTTTTTCCATCAAATGGCTGATTGATGACTAGATAGGGGATAGTCTGCATCCCTGTACTTATTTATTCACTGCAATTATATAGCTACCACATAACAGGTGTTCTTTGGGCAGCTCACAAACGAATAAATAATATAAAACTATAGGGTTGTATCAACTGAGTGCTGCTCAGAATAGCTGAACTGAAACCAGTAGTCTGCATCCAATGGTGTTCCTCAACTAACAGTAAAGTTTTCATGGAGGGATGAGGATGGAAACCATTTTCAGCAACACCGCTTCCCACTGCACTCCCCTCCTGCCCTAGCCTTCTATAAATCTGTTCCAGAAAGTTAGGAGACCCTTCAGAGCAGAGTAAGAGAAGACAGAAGGCTGCAGAGAATTTCTGAAAATCGCATGCTTATCTGTTGCATTGGTAAGAGCTTTACTGCCAGCTGACAACACCTTTCATACAACACTAAGGATTTTAGTTTGTCATTTCCACTGATTTCAATACAACCTATCACAGGTTAATTTTAAAAAGACAACTCAAACGACACGTCTTACATATTTTTTGGAAATGCAATTTTTTACATAAAATTTCACTGAATTAAAAAAGCAAACTGCAAAAAGTTGCCAAAGTATTTCTTAGAAACTAGTCATTTAAGCTTACTTAACGTGGGTGGCACTGTGGTCTAAACCACTGAGCCTCTTGGGCTTGCCAATCGGAAGGTCGGCAGTTCGAATCCCCACAACGGAGTGAGCTCCCGTTGCTCTGTCTCAGCTCCTGCCAACCTAGTAGTTCGAAAGCAGGCCAGTGCAAGTACTGTAGATAAATAGGTACTGCTGTGGCAGGAAGGTAAACGGTGTTTCCGTGCGGTCTGGTTTCTGTCACAGTGTTCCGTTGCGCCAGAAGCGGTTTAGTCATGCTGGCCACATGACACGGAAAGCTGTCTGTGGACAAACGCCGGCTCCCTTGTCCGGAAAGCGAGATGAGCGCCGCAACCCCATAGTCGCCTTTGACTGAACTTAACTGTCCAGGGGTCCTTTACCTTTTACTTAACACAGATTCTCTAACCAACAAAACTGAAGTAAAGAGTATTCTAATTTGTAGGTTCACACTTTTAGGCATACAGTGATAAATTCATTCATGCCCTGGACAAGATAAAGCAATTGGCAAATTTAAAAAATAAAATAACATAATCATTGAGGTAGTGAAGACTGCCCCAATCCTAAACAAGCAAACTAGCATGTTTGCTTGGAAAACCAGAGGAACATTGTTGCAATCCCAGCAAAATATAATTTTTCTCAACAATAGTGTAAAACTTAGGTTCATCCTATCTAAATAATGTATGTATTGCCACAGCATGTTTTAAGATTGGGCTATGGCTTTCCTGTAAAGGAGAAGGAAAAGAATAAAACATTATCTAGCAAATTAAAAGACTTCAAACAATATGCATATATAAAAGGAATACTTATCACAAATGTACAATAGTAATGTATTCTAAATAGCATCATAAAAAACTGTATGTGCTCAAATGTTTTATTAAATATCTAAAAGGATGATGGAATAAATTACTAATAACTGAATGATAGCAAAATAGACCTTGTGAACAATATTTGTATTACACCACTCTTTACCAATCTTATTCAAAAACAAAGCAGCAAAGTTTTGGCAAAATTGCTGTTTTACTCCAGACTTGTTATTGTGGGGCATGGAAAGCAGTTCTTAGGGTTAAGATCCATTTTTTATATACAATATTTTTTATTAATTTTCACAATTAAACATTATCATCGCACAAATATAAAAAGAGAAAATAAACCAAAAAAAGGAAGATAATAAAAGATAGAAAAAAGGAAAATAAAACATTTTCACACCATAATAAATTCAAATTTTGGGATTACTTAGATCCCTCAACTTCCCCGCACTCCCTCCCCTGGGTCTTTTGTATTATCTTAATTTAAACATGTCAATAATTTTAATAGTGGCCGAATTTAAACATTCTCCTCAATATTACAAGTATTTTTTAAAAAACCTGCTACTGTATTAACTTCCTTACAATGCTTTTGTAAGTATGCAATAAACATCTTCCATTCTTTTTTTTATTTGTTGTCGTCTTGATTTCTAAGTCTTCGAGTTAATTTAGGCATTTTGGCATACTCCATTCATTTAAGTTGCCAATCTTCTTTAGTAGGGACTTGTTCTTCTTTCCAGTGTTAGGCTAACAATATCCGTGGGACCGTTGTTGCATACATAAACAAATTATTGTATTCTTTTGGTATATCCATTCCTGTAATACCTATTAAAAATGCTTCTGGTTTTTTAACAAAGGTTATTTTTAACATTTTTTTCAATTCATTGTAAATCATCAATATAAAAAGTTTTGGGGAAATGATTTACAGAGTTAAGATCAATTTAAAGCAAAAACTGGACACAAGTCTAATTTTCTAAACAATAGAATACAAACTGAATCAATTAATAGAGAATAAGATGTTACTGCTAAGTGACCCTTGCAAAAAATTTTAAAAAGCCCTCCCACCCTCAAATTAATTCACATGAAGAAACACAATCACCCACTGATCTTCTGCAAGCTCCAATAATTAATAACTAAACTAAAGCCAAATCTTCTATTTGGAAAATTATCTGAGGCTGGAAAATTCATATGCAATCAAAAGAGATTGTCAATTCATTAAATACACTAGGCATAAATGAATACAGTAATGGTAATATTATGGAGGTAACAGGTCACATGGATAGGGCTTGTATGAAGTATTCCTTGCTAGACTACACCTTGTATCTACTGACATTTAATTAAAGTTGATTATGTATATGACTGTAATTAATAAAAATCAGACTTCCTCACCCATGAGACTGGACCGTTATTACTGATTTTTTTTCCAAATTTGGTTTTAATGATACTGATTTTTATGTTGCATCTGTTTTTATTATACTGCTTTATTGCTTTATGTTCTATTTTTGTAATCCACTTACGAGTTTAGAGATGGTTTTACATAAGGCTATAAACCTGTAGTCTGAAGGCTTAAACTCACATATCTAAACAGGGCTAAATATATGTAACTGTCTATTGGATCACAGCCTAAAATTACTCAAGTACTGTATGGATTGTATCCCTTGGTGATGGTAAGGATTCCATCAGCAGAATGGAGAAGGGTGCAACTCTCAGCAATCCCCCTTACCACTCTCTGCTCTGTCCTGGAAGGTCCCCCACCCTCTGCAGAAGACTTAGGGGTCTACAAGCTGCAAGTGAAAATAGCTGAAAATTGCTTCTCTGTTAAACTGATTGAAACCTTGCCATCAGCTGAGTGACAGCATAAGATAAAACATTTTATTTCAATTTCTATGGGAAGGCTAGTTCTAATTTCTGAAAGCGGCTTTGCCATTTATCTATTTATTTGTTTTTGGCACTATGTAGACTACTTTCTGAAATTTTTATTGGAATGCTAAAAACTGCTATATGTCAGTTCTTAGCCAAACATGTGGGACTAAGTTCATTTCATTAGTCTTAAGGAAACTTACCGTATTTTTTGCACCATAACACTCACTTTTTTCCTCCTAGAAAGTAAGGGGAAATGTTTGTGTGTGTAATGGAGGGAATGCCTACGGGTGGCATGCCTACGGATTTTCCTCCTCTAAAAACTACGTGCGTGTTATGGTCGGGTGCGTGTTATAGAGCGAAAAATACGGTAATCATATTTAAAGATTATAAGAATAATTATTATTGAAATTAGCTACCTTGCACAAGTTGCTGCGAAGATGTGTGGGAATATGTATGGACTGTATTATGCAATTTCCACCACTGAAAACCAACCAGAGGAGAAATGGTCTGGGTTACTAGCAGATATTTGCAGGCACCTATGGTGGGAAACGCGGCGGGTGGGCCTGTGGGTAAAAGCCTCAGCGCCTAGGCTTGCCGATCGAAAGGTCGGCGGTTCGAATCCCCGCGGCGGGGTGCCGCTCCCGTCGTTGGTCCCAGCGCCTGCCAACCTAGCAGTTTCGAAAGCACCCGGGTGCAAGTAGATAAATAGGGACCGCTTACAAGCCGGGAAGGTAAACGGCGTTTCCGTGTGCGGCTCTGGCTCGCCAGAGCAGCGATGTCACGCTGGCCACGTGACCCGGAAGTGTCTCCGGACAGCGCTGGCCCACGGCCTATAGAGTGAGATGGGCGCACAACCCTAGAGTCTGGCAAGACTAGCCCGTATGGGCAGGGGTACCTTTACCTTTACCTATGGTGGGAAAAAGAGAAGGCTGGACAGAGCTGGTGTTTCCACACTGCATCTGCTGAAAAGCTTCTGACAACCAGTGCA